GGCGTACAGCATAGTGCCTCGCGTGTCCCTAACTCACTTGCCTTCTTGAGTTTAATATCTGTGGACAGACGATGTATGAATGACTTAAGAATGCTATATCGCCCTGCAGTGGACAATGTAGGCATGTTCCTTTGTTACCCGCGGCCGGTGGCCAACTTATATGATCGGATACAGGGTTTGATGCGCGTCCTTTATCATTGGACATTGGTCTTGAATGTGACAACAGCAATATTTGCCGTAACGCTTCAATAGACGGCAGTGAAACTGGAAATCCATTCTTATCTGGAGTTGTTGCTGAAGTATAATGAAACGTTTGGACTTCCCCAAATCCCCAGAGCTGCATTGATATTGTGAAGATTCGTACGAATTTTGTGCGTCACTTGTTTGCAACATTCTGTGTTAGATCCCTGCGTTTCTTCTGACACCGACTTACCTCCGCGGAGCAGGTTTTCTTTTAGTTTCTTCGGTTTCCACTGCTGATCATTATTCCAACATTTCGTGTGCAGTAGTTCAGACAAAGCGTACATTGTCACACTTCCTCGGACTTGGCGCATAAGCAGGACCTGGTTTAGGTTCTTCGGCGCGTCTTTATTCATTCAGTTTATGTTCATATGTAGCCCCTTGTCTTTCAGTGGTTGGTAGAACTGGAGGAGCTACCATTTTATATATATATATATATATANCACACTTTCTAAATTACGTTCAATGTCCATATCAGAGAAATTCAGGAATGAAAATGACGTTACATACGAGGTTGATGCATTTGTGCATGTCGTACTAAGCAAGGTATAAAAACAGTTGCTTTATGAGGAATTAGTTCGTACCATTGAATATCTGACGCAATAGACAAGGTGTCGCAGAAACCGATGTTGCTATAACCAAGTTTTACTGTATATATAATCTGACGTTGGATACCTTGGCAATGATTGCCGCCATGCGTGGTTTATGCAGTTCTTGCGTGGCAAACAGGAAGCGGCATGTGGGGACGTCACGGAAGTGGACATGTGTCGATTGATGTGCTCAGGTTAGCTCTTGCATTGTGCCAGTTCTGTTTGCCTAGCGCAGAGTGTGACATGTATCGCTCAGCCAACCCGAACCAGTTACTTTACTGATAAATGTGCAGTTTGGTTGATAAAAATAACAGTCTGAATTATAAATCGCTGATCTGATTGTACTGAGTAGTACAGCGAAGCATTTATGATTCAGGAAGTGCGAAGATTGTTCAGAAGCAGTACTGAAACGTGGCTGAAAGAGTGAAAAGCGCTTAGTGTCTCAGAGCTCTGTATGATTTCGTGCATTAGTCTCGTCAGTGTTTTAACATAAGTTTAACGGCGCGTGTTTAGATTGTCCATTTGTTGGAGAGAGGAGTTGAAAAAAAAACAATTTCTGAGAAGAAGTAATCGCCTAATTTCCTCTGTCACAATACGGACCGCATAGAAAACGACCTGTCCAACTGTGCTTCTATTGTTGTCTGTGTATTCATTACAGCGGTAACGTTTTTACCGAGCCATTGCCCAGCAACCATAGGAAAACAGACTGATGGGAGAGATTTATGAAGCACGCAGTTGATGTGGACCCAAGTGGCGTGATATACATGACTAGTTTCATGTAGATTGGTTAAGGCATTTAAAAGGTGGTGGGAGGGATTCACAGACATAGCGACATACAGACAGACAGACAGCATGGTGATTGCATAAGTCTATTTTTATTTTTTTCAAAATAAGGAAAGTAGGCTTATGCGTGCGCGCGCAGGTGTGTGTGTGTGTGTGTCTGTAACTGCAACAGACTGCAGAATATCGATTGGTAGGAGAAGCCATATTCATGTAGACCTTGCTCGTTGTTAATGTCCAGATTTGTGGGAAATCGCTTTTGCTTGAAAACACTTGTTTGTTCCTTGTTCTCAGATACCTAGTATATTTTTAGCCTATTCTCTTTATTTAAAATATAAATGAAAGGAGGCTTATGAACTCATTTTGCTTTCTGTGTGTCCCACCAAACGCCTGAAAGCCGGAATAATAGAGTCAGAAGAGTCGACGTTTGCTAGAACGGTTCGGTAAACACGTTCCCTCTGCAGCGAACACGCCTCAGTGCAAGAACTGTTAGATGCGGTGTTTTCTATACCGTCCGTGTTGTATCAACAACTGCCCGGTAGAAGGCGACGAAGAGGGACCCCAGTACCTTGGAGTATAATTGGGCCACCTTGTTGCTTGGGGATATAATACGGGGACCTGGCCCTCCAGGTTGGGGAGTGTCGATTCTGAGACAGTGAAATATGGTCATGAGTCCCGCGGCACTCGGACCCGAGGATGACTGCGCTGGCGATGACCAGCAGCAATTGTAAACGACAGACCTATCCTCTCGACAGAGAAGATGTTACGGTGTTTCTTATAAGTAGCCTGTAATTTGTATAGCATTTGCTTTGTAAGCTAGTCGTACTTCAGTCAGTGACTTGCCGGACATTGTGAACCTAAGAATTGTACATTTTGGTGCTTTCAATGTCCGCAAACTGTGAGACACCTGCGGGAATGCATTTAGTGTTCGGGGAACGAGTGTGATACCAGTAGACCTTTCTCGCAACTGTAGCGTCTACACGAAAGCGTCATATACTCTGTGTGTGTGTGTGTGTGTGGGGGGGGGTATTAGTTCTAATATTAGCGCATGTGTCCCGAGATCGAGTGTTTGCCCCCTACTCCTGGCAAGTTTTGTGGGAAAAGTATGATTTTCAAGTTATGCCAGACATTTGAGAGGGCTGGAGGTTGAACCTGTAACTTTTTCTACATAACACCTTCATATAAATGATCTAGTTACTGCAAATGGGATATATCTAGGTTAAATTTCGTCATGAGTCCCGCGGGGCTCGGAACCAGAATGACTGCTGGCGAGGCCAGCAGCAGTTCAGCCAGACCAGGCCAGGTAGTTATGACGTTATTGTAAAAGATAGTTATGTAGAAGGACGACAGTGTTTTGTAAAGTTAATATGTGGAGATCCTATACAACAATTGAATATGAAGTTAATGGAAAGGCAAAGTTGTCCCTGTAACAGGCCGTGGAGACCCGTATGGTTGGGAGACGTCGAGGATCTCACATTTTCTAGACAGTCTTCTCGCAGATATTTAAAGTTAATAGATTGATAAAGTGAATACTAAATAGATTGATAAAATGAATACTAACTGGAAAGATATTACATCGTCGTCGAACAAATAGCGCGGATCGTACATGTTCCTCAGGACAACTGTTACGCTGTTGCCGTCACATCCCGTGGTCTTTGAGAATTAGCAGAAAGCGTAAAATGGAACAAAACCTAGATACAAAGTCCCTTGCACCAATAACAGTGATATTAAAAAAAAAACAGAAGTCTGGTGTATTGCAGTAACTTCACCCAGTGGACTGAGGATAAAAATCGGCGTGTTCCATCAGAACATCATTGCGTAACTGGCTGACGGTAGGTGAATCCGATGTCTCTCTGGTTAGCCCGCCGTTTTATGATAACCGATAACCTTAGATACATTATTTAAACTCGCCCGTCACGAATACCATTTTAGTGGCAGTAGCATAGTTGTGCCAGAGTGTCTACCGTTGAACCGATTATGTTGTTCCTTTGGATATTGACCAGGAAAACGTTTCCTGATATTGCAGAACTGATATTTTTAAGCATTTTAATTGTACTGTGGTGCACACTGCTGTATGATGTATCGATCAGAAACAGCGCGAAAGAAATGTTTCATTAATTTGTGTGACACGGCGGTCGACTGTTGTGTGCGGAAGGTGTTCGAGAATTGCGGGGAGAAGTGACAGGATTGGAGCTTTACTCCCTTGCGTCACATTATGCCATATAGATACTCTCATCGCTGTTTTGAATAGAAAGGTAAATCAGGTGATTTGTGTTTTGTACGTGATTGGTTGATTTTTGAAACTTGGGTATCTGACAATCCAGCGGACGGAAAGATGGAAGCGCCAGTAACTAAGTATATAACAGTTACAAATGAATCACGGATCGTATATAAAAAGACAGCGGGTTGTTGTTGATGTACGAGAGCCAACACAATGAAAATCGTGACCGAGGTAAATCTGAGCACTTGTCAGTACTATCTGAATTATTTTTCCGAGATAACGGCACAGAGATAGTCCTTGATGTTTAATTTTCAAACTTAATTTATCTGTTTGCACGTGTATATGGCACTTTATTAAATTAAGCCTCAGATATTATCTGATAATAACTGGACGTTATTAACAGATTTTTGTGTATTTTTTACAGTTATACATTAATTATATTGCTGAATATTATTGTATGATATTGCATATAGCTTCTGTGTTGTCTAGAATCGATTTCTCGTTGGATCTGTGAATCGATAGAAACTAATAGCCAGTGAAGAAATAAAATATGTTTTTCATGCCATATGGTTAAATGTTTACTGATTGAGTGGATGCAGTATGTACGACATGTACGTGTGACGTGAAATTAGTATGTATGTGATGGGAAGAATTACTCTTGTATGGTCTTTGAACTTTGACCTTTGTCCTTTTGTGAAATCCCTATTTCTGCTGAGGTAGACATACCGTCTGAAGGATATATTTAATTCGACTATTGTGTAATGTGACTTCACCAAGGTGGAGTTTTAGGTATCTCACGATGGAATAGGTTTGGGAATATGGGAAATAATAATTAACCAATTTCTCGGAGCTTTTGGGAGAGTGGTGGTTTCTGGTGGGGGCAACTACGTGAAGAATTAAGTCCAGCGAAGTAATGTTGAGTTGAACAAGTTAGCCCAGAGACAGTGTAGAAGTTTTGTCGTGATATGTTTGAGTGCGGTGAATTTATCTTGCCTAGAACTTCGTAGTATATTGTTGAGAGACTTTGAGTCCTGGCCACAACGCGTGATTTGAAGATACTTTTTTAAGTGATTGCTTAGAAAGGGGACGTCATGTGGTGGTTCATGATAGAATTTATAATTGGAGGGTTGACTTTTGCGGTGGTGTATTGCATATGGCGGCGTTTACAGGAAATACAAATCACCGCAGACGATAAGACACTGCGCGTAACAGAAGAATTAGCAACGGGCAGCGGGAGTATCTTAGCGGATCGGCTCGGCAAATTAGACGCCGCCACGCAAGGATGGAAGAAACGCGTGGGCCCAACCGATGCCGTCCAGTTTTCCGTGGCCGGCCGGATGATGATGGAGCATGCGGGGAGTCCACCGCTGACATGCGCCGGCGACGTAACGTTGACACCAACAGTGCCTTCTTCACCGCCGTCGCAGCTCCTGGGACACGCGTCCGCAGAGAGGAAACGGAGGACGCCCCGAGCGGAAAGGTTCAGAAGTAAAGCCAGTGAGTAAACTTCCAGTTTTTGTTATGTAGTCCACATCCTATTTCTGTTGTGCTGGTTATCCGTTGCAACGAATGTATCTTATCATTCATATCTGTATTTCCTCTTGTGTTTCCCATCCCCGCTTCCTCGTTCTCTTATCTAAGAAAATTGACATTTTGAACTTTCAATCAGTCTATATAGCGAGATCTCTGGATTGGACGGCCGGGGTTCGCTTTCCAGGAGGGGAAATAGATTTTTGTTTGCTCCATAGCGTCCAGACCGGTTTTAGAGCTCGCTCAACCACGGTACCGGGGGCTCTTTCCCCCGGAGGAAAGCGGCTGGGGCCAGAAGCTGACCACTCACCTCCGTCATGTGCCGAGGTCAAGAACGGTGGAGCTATACCTCAACTCCCTGATACGTCTTCATGGTGCAGGGCTTAATTAATTAAGCACGTGAACAACATTGCCTTTATTGAAACATTGTAGGCTGAATTAATCCATCAGTTGGACCTTTTAGTTTGTGAATCCTTGGATATTTTCATGCGAGTGTGGTATGGAATGCCCTTACTAAAACATATCGATGAATAAGAGTATGGGATATTTATACAAATTATAACTGTCACTTTCCTTACAAATTATGTTAACCCTTCTGTGTGTCTTTATAATGTTTTCACTCCATCTTATTAAATATGTATAGAATCTTTACATGGCAGAATAATAATTGTGTGGAGACTTTCTCTTTTAAAGATTTTGTATTGAAAATAGTTCTAGATGCAGAATGGGTGTGGTAGACACCAGCATACTCACTTTCAAAAAGGTAAATTTATGTTCATGTTCACACTAGAAGTGTACCAAAAATGTTTAAAATCACTGTTTTGGTGACGAAAATTAAAATATAGTTTTAAATATTTCAAGCATAGCATCTACCATCAGATCTGCATCATTAATCATTAAGGACCTAACATCTGGGAGATCATCTCACACACCATTTGCCAGTTAAGGTGAAATTAATTTTTTTCTTGGAACTCGCTTAGTGGGGGATGAAGTCCAACTGGGTCTACTCGGCACGGCAGCCATTGATTAGCCTATTATAGCCTGCCTCAGGTGATTATGATGATGGAGAATTTTGTGGAATGTATATTGTCAAGGGAAACCGAAGTACTTGGAGAAAACCTGCCCCAGCGCCACTTTGTCAACCACAAGTCCCACTTGATCAGACCCGGGATTGAACAGGGGCCGCTGCAGTGGGAAGCCAACGACTAACTGCTTGAGCTATGGCATGGCCACAGTCATAACATAACTTTGACTTTGACTTGGTATGTGTGACCATTGTGCCCGATTCTTCTGATAGCCACTTCTCTGAAGTTTCCATGTTCAGGCCTCTCAGAACTTGTAGCCGTGCAGAGCATTTTTCTTCATGATGCATCACCTTAATTTCGCTGTGCTGCAGTGACTTAAAGTGACACTAATGACATAAGTCAGTATATTTTAGATTTTTTATGCATAACCATTTTTTTTAATTCTTATGCTTTCACATAATTTTTAAATGACTGTCTTTTCTATAATTCTGCTTAATAGCATCATTGGTTTCTGTCTGTCATGACTGATGATTGCCCATAACTTCACAATGGCCAGGTTAGGAAATCACATTACACCATGGCACTTCATAGTTAGCTGTACAGGTTGAAACATACATCTCATTCAGTGTTAGGTATTGCATGTATAAAGTTGAAAACAGCATTACGAAGAGGCAACTACATCACAAAATGACCAGGTCAGTTTAAATTATCATGGCGCTTGTTTACCAATGCCTAGGATTGATAAGTACATTGTTGACAGCTAGCAACAATATGAACACTTATTGTAAAGTGTTGTGATGCGTTTTGTAGGAAATAATTACATTACGGTACACTACATAGTAAAAGTTTAGCTGTAGTAGCTTATTATAAGAGTCATAATAATAACTTTAATATGACTTCTACACAGATTTTGACCCATAATGAGTGATAGATGTATGTGAATAGACCATTTGAAGATGAGATAATTTGTATACGATTTTATGATGTACTTATTTTAAATTACTGTATTTGGAAAACATATCTTCCTGTCACGTTTCGTCCAGTGTTGTTTCTTATACTGGTTTTTTCCTCTCTACAGCATTGTACAAGGAAGTATCATCAACTCCAACATCTCCTCAAAAAGAGACACTTATTCCTTTCAAGCGCAGCATATCTGCACCGGGAGGGGAAGATGATGCAGGTAAGCACTTGCTTGAGCAACACTCTAGTTGCCATTCTTCTGAGATCCCATTTGTAGAAATAAACTGGGCCATTGAAAGCAATGTCTGTCTTAATCGATTACAGTTATCTTGAGATTTTTTGGGCTTCCCTTTTCCTTTCCTTTTTTTTTTCTTTCTTTATTTAGTTGTTTTCTTTTCTTTAACTGCAGGGTCCTTTTAAGTTTAACCTTTGTTTCCCTCACTATATGTGCCCATTCTCATCTGTTATCCGGCAGGATTCATGGTGCAGGTTTTGACATGTCAGATCAGACCATTCCCTTGTCAGTATTAGTAGTCAACTATGGATTTCAAAGCCATTATTGTTCCTAGTAAGGTCATTTGGAATCTTTGCGTTAACTTCTGTATCAGTAGACATCACGGATTTTCCATAAACCGATGAAGTGGGCCATTTGTTTTCACTGTGCTTAGGTAAAGGTTGCATGAATTTCTCAGAACACCTTCAGGATGTAGTGCATAGANCCCTTCTGTGTGTCTTTATAATGTTTTCACTCCATCTTATTAAATATGTATAGAATCTTTACATGGCAGAATAATAATTGTGTGGAGACTTTCTCTTTTAAAGATTTTGTATTGAAAATAGTTCTAGATGCAGAATGGGTGTGGTAGACACCAGCATACCTACTTTCAAAAAGGTAAATTTATGTTCATGTTCACACTAGAAGTGTACCAAAAATGTTTAAAATCACTGTTTTGGTGACGAAAATTAAAATATAGTTTTAAATATTTCAAGCATAGCATCTACCATCAGATCTGCATCATTAATCATTAAGGACCTAACATCTGGGAGATCATCTCACACACCATTTGCCAGTTAAGGTGAAATTAATTTTTTTCTTGGAACTCGCTTAGTGGGGGATGAAGTCCAACTGGGTCTACTCGGCACGGCAGCCATTGATTAGCCTATTGTAGCCTGCCTCAGGTGATTATGATGATGGAGAATTTTGTGGAATGTATATTGTCAAGGGAAACCGAAGTACTTGGAGAAAACCTGCCCCAGCGCCACTTTGTCAACCACAAGTCCCACTTGATCAGACCCGGGATTGAACAGGGGCCGCTGCAGTGGGAAGCCAACGACTAACTGCTTGAGCTATGGCATGGCCACAGTCATAACATAACTTTGACTTTGACTTGGTATGTGTGACCATTGTGCCCGATTCTTCTGATAGCCACTTCTCTGAAGTTTCCATGTTCAGGCCTCTCAGAACTTGTAGCCGTGCAGAGCATTTTTCTTCATGATGCATCACCTTAATTTCGCTGTGCTGCAGTGACTTAAAGTGACACTAATGACATAAGTCAGTATATTTTAGATTTTTTATGCATAACCATTTTTTTTAATTCTTATGCTTTCACATAATTTTTAAATGACTGTCTTTTCTATAATTCTGCTTAATAGCATCATTGGTTTCTGTCTGTCATGACTGATGATTGCCCATAACTTCACAATGGCCAGGTTAGGAAATCACATTACACCATGGCACTTCATAGTTAGCTGTACAGGTTGAAACATACATCTCATTCAGTGTTAGGTATTGCATGTATAAAGTTGAAAACAGCATTACGAAGAGGCAACTACATCACAAAATGACCAGGTCAGTTTAAATTATCATGGCGCTTGTTTACCAATGCCTAGGATTGATAAGTACATTGTTGACAGCTAGCAACAATATGAACACTTATTGTAAAGTGTTGTGATGCGTTTTGTAGGAAATAATTACATTACGGTACACTACATAGTAAAAGTTTAGCTGTAGTAGCTTATTATAAGAGTCATAATAATAACTTTAATATGACTTCTACACAGATTTTGACCCATAATGAGTGATAGATGTATGTGAATAGACCATTTGAAGATGAGATAATTTGTATACGATTTTATGATGTACTTATTTTAAATTACTGTATTTGGAAAACATATCTTCCTGTCACGTTTCGTCCAGTGTTGTTTCTTATACTGGTTTTTTCCTCTCTACAGCATTGTACAAGGAAGTATCATCAACTCCAACATCTCCTCAAAAAGAGACACTTATTCCTTTCAAGCGCAGCATATCTGCACCGGGAGGGGAAGATGATGCAGGTAAGCACTTGCTTGAGCAACACTCTAGTTGCCATTCTTCTGAGATCCCATTTGTAGAAATAAACTGGGCCATTGAAAGCAATGTCTGTCTTAATCGATTACAGTTATCTTGAGATTTTTTGGGCTTCCCTTTTCCTTTCCTTTTTTTTTTCTTTCTTTATTTAGTTGTTTTGCTTTTCTTTAACTGCAGGGTCCTTTTAAGTTTAACCTTTGTTTCCCTCACTATATGTGCCCATTCTCATCTGTTATCCGGCAGGATTCATGGTGCAGGTTTTGACATGTCAGATCAGACCATTCCCTTGTCAGTATTAGTAGTCAACTATGGATTTCAAAGCCATTATTGTTCCTAGTAAGGTCATTTGGAATCTTTGCGTTAACTTCTGTATCAGTAGACATCACGGATTTTCCATAAACCGATGAAGTGGGCCATTTGTTTTCACTGTGCTTAGGTAAAGGTTGCATGAATTTCTCAGAACACCTTCAGGATGTAGTGCATAGACATAGGAATATGCAGGCCTTTGTTGTTGTTGTTGTTGTTGTTGTTTTTTTTCCCCCTTTCATACCTGCAACCCATGTGCTCCTGGAATTGTGAACCAAATGTAATGGCCATTCCACTTAGTTTCAGAAGCATGGAAGCACCCCTGAGGAGCAAGTGTGGGCCAAACAGTTTAGAGAATTGTACATATTGTGACATGGCAGCTAAAAGTGAGGATAGTGGAACAAGAAAAGAGCCATTGCTAGACAGTGGCATTGTACACATGTTTCCATAGCAACGAATATAGCCACAGTAATAGAACAGCTGTGGGAAGTGGTGTTTTCTGTGTAGCCTGGATTAGAGATATCTGCATTATTAGAAGCCACTACCTACTAATGCCTAGTGAAGACATAAGCTCAGAAGACATAGTGTGTTCTGTAGTAATTTTATGGTGTGTGTAGGGTAATGAGAGTGGTGTAATAGTTTGATGTAACAAGTTAAAAGCATTATGTAAATCCAGTTATCAATCCAAATCCCATGTCTAGTCACAAACACATGACAGTATTCTTACCTATGGTTGAATTGGATAGCGTGAGAAAGGGTAAAGAAATGGCACATGGTAATGATGTGTGGTTTTTGTTCCCCTCATGTAGTGTAATTTATTTTGCAATAACATTACTATGTTTTCTGTTGAATGTTGTGCTTTTTCAGTCATGATATATCTTAATGTGTTCACGTAACATGTATTATAAACTCTCATAATTGTAATTGATTTTGTCCAGATTTGTCAGTTGATCGGGATGATTCACTGTGTGGCTCCAAGGTGACTGTCCCCCGGTTGGATGATGAGACGTTCACGTCATTCTTCAGCAGCAGTATCTCATTAACATCGAAGTCTGAGGGCCCAGAACGGCTGGATGTCTGTGATGAAGACTTGGACCAGGTTGTCAGCCATTCCAGAAAATTGTAAGTTCCACTCATTATAAACATTTCTTGAAATAGTAGATCTGAAGTTTTCTCTCTTCTTTATTGCTTAATTGAATGTGATGTTTTTCTTGAACACCCTTGTTTATTGTAGTCATCTAAATCATGGTTTACACGGTATATGCTTTCTGCATGAGAGTTTGTATATTGCAGTATGCATGTACAGACTGTCTAGCTTGTGTACCTTATGCGCTTATTCTCTGTCTGGTAAGAACCCAAAGGTTCAACACTGGTAATGCCAGCATCCACCATTGAATCCAGTCTGGTGTGAGTTGTCTTCAGTTCTTGGTGAGTTCTTTCTAAGGTGTTTTCAAACTTCCCTTGCCATGCAGGACAGAGTTTACATGTGCATCAGCTGTAAATGATGCGCAATGAAAGCTGATACTGATATTATAGCCTTTGTCTGCTACTCTCCTTGACACACACACAGGCTTCCCAGTCAACATTTTTTATGTATAAAATCTAGGCTGTATATCATTAAACTTTTAGATTTTTTTTATTGCTAGTGGGTGGCGCTAAGTCCCTTGTACTGCGGCCACTTCTGGCCTATTGTACCAGCCCCAGACTATAGGTGAGGGTGATTGTGGAGCAATTGGTGGAATGAAGATTGGCAGGGGAAACCGAAGTACTAGGAGAAAACCTGCCCCAGCGCCACTTTGTCCACCACAGATCTGACTTGACCAGACCTGGGATCGAACCTGGGCTGCCACGGTGGGAAGCCAGTGACTAACCGCTTGAGCTTTGGCGCGGCCAATCTTTTGGATATACTTGAAATAGTGAAATAAAGTAAACAGGTTCACCGTATATTCTGCCAAGTCTGTATTATGCATTTATATCCTGGTCTTTGACTGTGTTAAAGTAACAAGAAAATGTAATTATGGGTGTAGGATGCCTTTAAAGTACAGATCCTTATACTAAAATTGCTATTATTTCTTGAGCCAGCCATTTTCTCAGTTTTCAGTCATCATTTACCAATTAAAATGACTTAAATAGTACTGGCGAGAGCCCCCACTCCCTTTTTATTAATAAATTAGTTCATGGGTGTATTCTCCGCCACACCTCTCCCGTTTAGCTTTTGAACTATCAGACTGATTTTCATAAAACTTTGGTGTAAGTGTAATGCCATTGGATGCTACTCCATTGTTATACGTTTTGACTTCGTACAGTGAATTACTATAACAACATGGCAGACACATGAATGTGAAACGTGAGTGACAATAGAATTTCATAATTCATAGTGTTGAAATGAAGTATGGTAGTCAATCTTAGAAGAGCATGAAACTTTTGCTAAGGTGATCTTTTTTATGCACCATAAAATAACAAATGTGATTTTGGCCTTTGGTTTTATAACTGTAATGAATGAATGGTAGAAGATGGGCATGTGAAACTTGGTGTTGAGATGGATGGTAAAAATACTGAAACATTGCATAATAAATGCTGTTAGTAAGTCAACATTTGAAAACCTGGAGACTGTGTGAAACACTGACCTCATATCCAACAAATTTAATGTAGCCAGAATATGTACTTAAGTAACAAATTTGTTGTTGTTCCTGCTGCTGTGAATGATGATAACAGCAGCTCTGTATGACTAGAGATTTATGCAGTAGGAACATTTTCTTTCAGCCCCTTCCCATTTTTATGAACGAGAACATAATGTTTAAAGTCAGAAATCATAAAGAACTTAACTGTAGAGTGACGGCAGTAAAGCAGTCATCACATATGTACTAAATGTGGTTTTTCTTTCATATTGTCCACAATTGAAGAAAGAGTGTGAAACAGTTATCCTTCAAATTCTTCTCTCCAAAATCCCATTGTGAAGGCGGAAGGCAGAGAGGTGGCTACGGAATCAGTGTCCCTGTTTAGAAGTGTCTGCATACCAATAGTATGCTTACACTTGTCATGTGCACGCGCACACACAGACAAGATATCAAAAGCANTGTCAACAAATTGTAAGTTTCAGTGGCAGATTTTCCAAGTTTTGTGAGGAATTTGATGTTAGCACGTTGTTCTGCATTAGCACTCAGCATTATTCCGACGGAGCTCAGAAACACGATCCGCTTCTAACAATGGTCGCGGCCAGACTAACCGATGCACGTGAATGAAACTTTGTGTGACGGTAGAGGGAAGTCCAAGGGTCAATGCCCTACCCTCCTCTTTGTCAATGACATGGCCGGAAATGAGTCATAAAAGTAATCCGGGTTCTTTATTGCCACACCTTGTACAGTCACAAAACAGAATAAGACTTACAAATGTAAAGAGAGTCCCCCTCACAACAAACAAGAAGTGGCTTCCACATAAATTGGAGTCATCGTCAGAACTATCCTTCTGTGTTTATAAAATTGAGATGTGACAGTGAGATGACATCACATGGACAAACATGATGACACTTATCTGGGAGTTTACCAGAAAGCTACATGCTGCTGCTGCATGGGATCGTTAAATGGAGGTCATAATGACAGATGGTGTTGTTAATGTTAATTTTTTCAGGTGTTAACTAGCATCACATTCATACAGTACTGTATGCATGTGTTCAGAAATTTCCTTTTACGGAAATTTTCCTATTTGATGCCTACTCACTTTCAGGGCCATCCTTATTTTGAGCTTTCCTTGTTTCTGGAAGGGTACAGCTGTTTTTCTTCATAGAATTAATACTTCGCATAATTACTATTCTTCTGAAATATCTGCTCTGTTATCATATCGTTGCATTTAATTTTCTTTGTATGTGCATTGCATAGTCATAATGTTACATGTGCACAACCCAGCTTGCCGAGTATGCATTTTTTGAGTACTGTGTTGTTAAACCACAAATTAAAATCAGTGTACTAGCCCCAGAGTATCAGGAGATTTAAAATCCCCAGTTCCTGGATGATAGAATTGTGAGGAAGTTGGATCAGTTGCAGGATTTATTTCAGAAATATTGTAACATTTGAGTACAGTTCATATAAACCTATATTTAAAATAGATTACTAACACTGGTATGAGTTTCTGATTACATATATGATTTTCAGAACTCAAAATTGTAGTAAACAGGCATTGTGTGTGGTCCATTGGGACATCTCAGTTCGTGTCTATATAAGTTGATTTGTCCTTTGAATCTGTATATCAAATAGGAATTCAAGAATACATTCATTGTTGACGAACTGCTTGAAGATGTATCGCCAGTGTTCTCCAGGAATTTGTTCTGGAAATTTTTCCTCATCAATCACGAAGTTTTCTATCTTGAATGTGTTCTGTGAAGCATTAACAATTCGCACAATGGAATTAGTATAGTATAATCGAGACATTTAAATAAATGTAGTTTGCCATCTGCTGACACCAACATAACATCTCAGGCAAAGAGTTTCAGAATCTGATCTGTTCTTGCAGTTGAGAATTCATTTAACAGAAGCATTTCAAAACGTATACTGGCTTGAAGAGTACCATCTTCAGGGATACAATGCCATGTAGCCTGGTGGAATTCCACTGATGATTCAGAGGAAAGGCAGTGAACTTATACCAGACTGCATGGCTTTCATCACCATAGTCATTGTTGTAAGCTTTCCCTGTAACAGGCTGTGGAGGCCCAAAGGGTTGTGAGATGTCTAGGCTCCCACATTCTCTAGACAGTCAGCTCACAGATGGCAGTGAGGTTGTCAGCCTTACATGCCAGCCACCCCTTACTCTTACATGTATCTATGGTGTGACTCAGGTGATTGGTTTTCAAGGGTGTGTACCACCTGAAAATTACCCAGAAGTGAGGTTGAAACATGTAGTGGGTAAGAATAAACATATCAGGTAACTGTGTTTGTGCTATTATAAGAATTATGTTGCCTGTACAGTTTCACAGCTCACCATTTTATATGACCAGGGTAAATGAATTAACTTCACCCCTTCTCCTGCTAAGCCCCACCACAGAACTATTTGCCAAGGCTGCTTGCTGGTGAATGCAGTTACACAGAATACCCAACAATGCTGCTTTAGTTTTCCTTCAAGGGACCACAGATGTGGATACTGTGAAAGCCTGTTCTTTCATTTAAACATTGGCATATCACAGTCGATGCTATCTGTTGGCAGATACTTGGTACTGAGTGATTGCCATCAAACCATTCTCTTCAGCTATGGCAGTTTCAACACATTATGCCCATAGAGTTATTGTGTTTCTGGGCATTATGCATCATCCTGTTTTCATTTATAGCACACGTTTCTGAGACTGGATTCTGTCTCTTGTCTTCAGGTGGAACCTACTCAGTTGAGCCAAATTGATAAAGCTAGTCCCTATATCTGGACAGAAACACAATAATTGTTTTAAGATCTTATTTACATTATTCATATTTTATGAAATTAAGAGGGCCAACATTAAGACCAGTCATAAGGACAGTGAGAAAATTTGAGAACATTACTGTCAAAACTGGTATTATTTTTTTAAACTCTCTTAATATCCATTATGTGCCTCACAGGTTGGCTTTTTCTGTTCCTATCTTTTCGTCGATTTGAATGCATGTAGGAGTGGAACATCCAGTAAATTGACTGTAGTTAGACATTATATAAAAAAATGTCATTGAAATAGAAGCCTAGAATTTTAAGTCTGGAGGATGTGGGCTAATCAGGACTGTAAGTAAGTATAGTAAAGCTATCCCTGTACCAGGCCGTGAAGGCCCATAGGGTTGTGAGACGTTGAGGGCCCCACATTATCTAGACAATTGGCTCAAAGATGGCGGTAACGTTGTCAGCCTTGNAACTCTCTTAATATCCATTATGTGCCTCACAGGTTGGCTTTTTCTGTTCCTATCTTTTCGTCGATTTGAATGCATGTAGGAGTGGAACATCCAGTAAATTGACTGTAGTTAGACATTATATAAAAAAATGTCATTGAAATAGAAGCCTAGAATTTTAAGTCTGGAGGATGTGGGCTAATCAGGACTGTAAGTAAGTATAGTAAAGCTATCCCTGTACCAGGCCGTGAAGGCCCATAGGGTTGTGAGACGTTGAGGGCCCCACATTATGTAGACAATCGGCTCAAAGATGGCGGTAACGTTGTCAGCCTTATGCGCCGTCCATGCTTTACTCCCCAGGAAAATTATTTAATTAATTCCTGGTACTCTTTTCTGTTAGAGGCTGAGTAAACCCCAGGGCCTAGTGCGGCTGGAAGGATTAGGTCAACTGAAAAAATCCAATGACCTCATCGGAATTTGAACCCGCGACCTTCCGGCTTGTAGCGTAGCACCTCAACCACTACTCTACCGCGTTCAAGACCTAAATAAACTTTTCTGTTTACATTGTGTATACACTACTTTGAAATGTGTTCCAGGCAAAATTAGTAGAATTTAAGAAGATAAACATGTTATGTTTCTTTTCTTTTGAATAATTTTTAACAGACTCATAAAATCTATGGCTGTACCCAATTACCATATCTATTGTGAAAGATATAACTGGAGATGACCACAACTGAACAAGTTCTGTAGCTTATTCCCAATCTTGCTAGATTATGGTGATACTTTAAAATGTTTGATACTTATTAAAAGGACATTGATTTTGAAATCAACTCATATATACCTCAGTGAATAATAGTTACAGATTGTAATAATAGAAAGCATTGTGCATGGTTTATGTACATTTCTGAGTGGAAGAAACATTCAGAGAGCAAAGACATGTGTGGCTGTTAAAATATGTGAGCAGTTTGTTTTCTTTCTGTTGTGATGTGAGTGACAGATTACTCCAGTATTCATGGCAACAGTCAGTGGCAAATATCAGTGCTGAAGGATATGGTTTCCTGGGTTGTGACACCATTTAGTTCAGAGAGAGCCCAGTGTTTCAGAGGAACATATTGCCTCCACCTTCCAGAAGGAAGAATGAGCTAAGCAAAATACTAGCAGAAGCAGGTGGCGCTTACTCTTTCAACCTCAAAATTGGAGGCCATATGTTCCTCCTAAATGTAGGATTCTCTGAACTACGCAGCATTGTAGTGCGGAAGACATACTCTTCATAGCCACCATCTTGAGAATTGCAGTTATAACAAAGTGTCAGTACTGTTCACTAAATAGCAACTTACAGCTTTGATGGGGCATGTTTTTGGGTAATTGCTTTGTCGTATTATGCCTTCCATGAAGTATGGATCACTTGTGATGAATTCACACCAAGTTTTGTTAATGTGCACGGTGCTCTTTTGCCACTGGTTGCTTTGAAGTTCATAACTTTGAATGTCAACCTGTAATTTAAACATAAGTCTTGTTCATTTCCCTGATTGAGACAGTGGTGTAGTGAGGGGCTGGATTGTACGTGAGGTACTGACCCTCGGACTGCATTACGGAAGGAAAAATATTTTAATATCCCAGTAGAGTTATCATCCCTACAATGATCAGGATTGTGAACTACAAGTACGTAAGAACTGGGCACATGAAGCTCAGAAACATGCATTTAAATTCAGTGTATTGTAATTTTTTTTTCTTGGTACTACAGCCCCAGTGGGCCTAGGCCTACATCTATGAACTTCTCCGTTCACTTCGGTTTTTGTAGAGATTACACATTCGGTAGAACTCTTTGGGTGGGTGATCAGCTCATCGCAAGGCCTCTCCCTGTACACAAACACAGAAAAACACACAGATATCCATTCCATGAGTGGGATTCGAACCCACGATCCCGGCTTCCGAGCGAGCGAAGACAGTACATGCCTTAGACCGCTCGGCTACCGTGACCGGCATTGTAATATTACCATGCAAAATCAATATTTTTTTTTCTTTTTTAATAAGTTCGGAACATTTCTTCGAAGAGGAGGAAGTCGACATATACTTTGAGGGATGGAGTAATACCTGTGCAGAGCGGCCTCCATAGTCTACAGGTAATGTTCCCACCTCATGACTTGTAGTACGCGGGTTCAAATACCCGCCAGAGGTTGTCGAATTTTTAAGGGCGGAAAAATTCAGGGAACAAGTCCTCTGGGAGGGACTTTAAGCCGTGGGTCCCGTGTCGTAGCTTTACGGCACGTAAAAGAACCTCATATCTCCAAAGGAGGTCACTGAGCCAATTACGGACATTTCCTGCCCAACAGCAGTCTCCAATACCTCTGGTAGATTGGGGAAGCATTATAGATACCTCTCAGCTAGTAGAGCCGGTCTCGCTGGCTGTGCGGGACTGATGGTAAGCACCAGTACCGGTGGGATATAGAGACTGGTAGAAATCATAGAGGGAAGCACAATGGACCAATACAGGTCTCAGTGCATGGGGAAACCCACCCTCTCCAATAACTAACTAACTAATACCTGTGCAGGCCTTATGAAACCAGCTGATGACTCACAGGTTGGATCCCTCTGTTGTACCTCGTTTGGTTATTGTCATAACAATACCTTTTCCAGTAGTCATACATTTTGCTGTGGCCAGAAAATAGAAGAATGATAGTAACAGACACATTTGTGGAGGAGATATTAGCATTAAAGATGTAAATTTTGGAGGGCAAGACCATTTCTGACAGCATGTGATTATGTTAGCTGGCACTAACTTCACCGACAAGCGGCAATAGCTTGGTCCATGTAATTCACTTACAGAGTAAAACAACGGAGTTTTTGTGAATACATAGAGGGTAAAGTTATGATATCAAATCAGTTCCTGCAATGGTGGATGACATACGAGGGAGTGTCAGTAATGTGTTACAAATGGAAGAAAAGTGGCTGTAATGGATGTTACAGCTTTTATATGTGTATCACTAGGTAGCAGCACAGTCCAGTTCCATGCCAATCTAGGTGGCAGACAGGCATGTGCATGTTTAGAGGTTGATTTCAGTAGTCAAAATGGCGACCGTGCTTGAGGAGTTTAATACCAGAGAGCTGCGTTCTGTTGTTTTTTGTGGGCAAAAGGGCTCAGTGCAAAGGATATTCATAAAGAAATGTTTCCTGTTATGGTGGGAAGTGTTTTGCCATGTCACAGTTGGGACAAGAATTTCTCTCAAGGGCTTCTGAATGTCACAGATGATGGCCCAACCATGTGTAGAAGTGGCTGAGACAACTGTCAGAATATTTCTAGTATGCTGCGGGTTTCGACGCACTAGCAAAGCAGTGGGACAAGTGTATCAGTGCTGATGGAAGATATGTCAAGAAATTTTTTTTTCTGGGTTTGAATAATACGTTTTACTTTTTATATGCATCTTTGACCTATTTACTGACTGGGTTAAGACATTATAACCATTGTTCCCAGTTAGTACAGTAGAGAGTATTAAAAACAAACTCACCGTGGTACCTTGTGGGAGATCCTTCAGCATGCGTACAACTGCATTTATTGAGTCCGTAGTCTCATTATATTTGTTTATTTCAAAGTCAGTGTCCTCACCATAATACCCTCCATGGGCCTGTTTTAGTTCTGCTCCTTTTATACGAACATGGTAGTTGCGCTGTAAAAATTATCATGTCGTTAAAGAAATGTTCTTGGCTTTGTTCAGTTTGGTGTTCAATGTGAGAAGTTGATGGGAAGTCTCATCATTTGTTATGTAAGCTTTCATACTTTTAATTAACGTGCATTTTCCCTGTATTCCTTTCCAGTTCTGCATGTTATTGAATGATACATCATGGTTGACATTTAAAGGTCCCAGCCATGAATAGTACACACAGTAGCCAATCATAAGTGTCTCTTTTATACATTATTAGCCTAATTTCCTTATTTTGGAAAAATGAAAGTAGGCTTATGAGATCACCATGCTGTCTGTGTTTGTGCCCCCGTCTCCATCAACTTCTGAATTTCTGAACCAGTCTTTATGAAACTTAGTATGTATATCATGGCACCTGCTCCTGTCTCAGCAGCTTACTTCATAAATCCCTTTAATCAGTTTGTGTATGTCTTTATGTGATCCCACTATCATTGCTAGGCAATGGCCACTTTACTGTGGCAATGAATACGCATGCAACAATAGAATTATTGGGTTCATTCTTTTCTGTGCTGCCCATGTTGTATTGGAGGAAAGTAGGCGATCAGTTCTTCCCTACAGCTTCTTGTATTATTTCACGCATCTACATCAAAATATTATCAATACTCTTAGAAGAGACGGGATGCATTGAAACAAAAGGCTGCCTGCTCATTCGTTACCTACTACATAACTTATGTTTAGGCAACATGTTAACACCCAAAAATTCAAAGCTGTGGGGACCTGAAATTGTGCAGGTTGAAAGATGTTTTTCTTACAGTTTCATTACATTTTTATCCTACTTTGAAAAAACAAAATGAGGCTTATGATATCACCTCACCATCTGTGTGCCCCCCCCCCCTCTAACGCTTGAAAGCCAGAGAAGACAGGTGTTGCTATGTGGTGGTTTGGTAAATATGTTACCACAGCAACAAATTTACATGCAACAACAGAAGAACTGTTGGGCACGATGTTTTATGTGTGATCTGCGTCACATCAGATACTGAGTATGTGTTGAAGGGAAGTAGGTAATTAGTTCTTCCCAGAATTTTTGTTATACTTGTATATATTAAAAAAGATTTAGTGGAAAATGGCTTTCATGAAAATTATTTGTGCACAGACTGCACACTTGTACATACACACAGACACAAAATGAAATAAGGCCAGAAATATTATTTTGCTGAGTCAGCTTTATTGTAATAACTTGTAATGGAGGAAACTTTGAAGAATAATCTCCTAGTGTAGTGTCGCATTACAATCCACAAGACTTGGATTGCCATGAAAATCTAAAATTTTTTGGCTATTGTGGACCACTGTGAAATTGTAACAAGCTTTTGTGTGCCACAAGAGAAGCTTCAGTGAGGTAGAGGAATTTTTCCACAAAATTAATTAAGGCAAAGGTAAATGTAAAACACCATGGAGATGTGGGACAGCAGAGATATAACTCCACTATCCTTAACCTTGGCACTAGATCGAGGTGAGTAGTCACCTTCATGCCCCGGCTTCTTTATCTTTGGGGAAACAGCCCTTTGGCTTGGTAGACCCCAGAACTGGTCTGGATGCTATGGAGAAGAGAAAAATCTCCCTAGCCAGGGAATGAACCCTGATTCCTTGGTCGTTCAGTTTGTTGTTTGGTCACTATACTGACTTAGCTATCCCAGTCGTTCATATGTATAGTACTGCGACGTGTTGCGCTACGGTAATAGGCAAGTCAACCCCCCACCCCCCACCAGCGGTGACGTGCCGAGTGGAGCCGAAGTGAGCTGAGTCCAAGCATGCTGGTCACTGTGCAAAGCAAGTAAACAGCGGTTGCTAGGCAAAGCGAGTAAACAGCGGAACCCATTACATAACATGGGACGCCGCAGTTGCTACGTAACTGTAAACAACTCCCAACAGCGTTGCTAGGTTATCAGCAAATGTGGCGACTAGGAAACAAGGAAGCGAGGTGTTTCCCATTGTCTGGCTGAGGGTTTATAAGGGAACGACACAGCCGCCGAAGACAGTTCTCAAGGCCTACGAAGCGAGTTGGAGTATAGCAGCAGTCGCAGAAAGAAGAACCGGACGCGTGTGTAGTTGTGTAATTGGGAGTGTGTAATACAGAGAGACTTGTATAGTTCCCGTACTGTGAATACGTGTAGACTACTGAGGGCAGTGTGAAGAGATTTGTGTGTAGGGTTTGTAAAGTGTGGAAACCCATAACATTGTTATAATTAATTGTAGCTGAGACTGGTAGGTTGTTAAATAAACCAATTAACAATCTGAATGGCTTCTTCAGTAACGAAACATGTTACAGTACGTTACGAGAATATGTATAAGAGCAGAGGTTCTTGTCCAATTTATTCATTTTGTGTGATTCAGACAGGTTTTCCTAATTTGTTTCCCTGTATTAAAACGGTGATTCTGCCTTCAAATTGGCCCCTCCGGTATCTTACCAGACAGTGTATACTCATCTTCTTGGCTCTGTAACCCAGTCTGGATGTTGACTTTGTTTGCCAACATGTTTCTTCAGAACTCCTGTCTCCAGTGCCATCCACTACCAGCCCCTGACTTCAGCATTCTCGTATCTCGTTTTGTATACCACCAAATTGTTGAGTTTTGAACTACCTTGACCTCTTCTCCCTTCTGGCTTACCAGAGATTGGTATCCAGTCCAGCCCATCTCAGCTGATCGACCTTAATAATTTTTGCAACCTCATGCTTGTGGGGCATGTGGTAGCGTAGATGGTTGAGGCACTATGCTACAGGCTGGAAGGTCGCAGGTTCAAATCCTGATGAGGCCATTGGATTTTTTTCAAATGACCTAATCCTTCCAGCCGCACTATGGCCCTGGGGTCGACTCAGCTTCTAACAGAAATGAGTACCAGGAATATTTTTGGGGTAAAGGGCGGCTGGCGCATAGGGCTGACAACCTTGCCACTATCTATGAGCTGATTGTCTAGAAAATGTGGGAACCTCGACATCTCGCAACCCTATGGGCCTCCACGGCCTGTTGCAGAGGTACCTTTACTCACTTTTTACCTCATGCTCATTATATAAATGTATGCACTTAGATATAGTGTCATCTTTCTGCTGACAGGTGCCTTTTTTTGAGCTCATCAGTAGTCCTTAAAACCGTTCTTTCAAAAACTGATGAATTACTTGTCCCCCTTCGCCCTATAGGGCCCAGTTCCTTGAATCATAAAATAACAAGCAACCTTAACAAGATTGGGTCGTGCAGTAGTGTAGTTGGTTGAGACACTATCCTACAAACTGGAAGGTCATTGGTTCGATTCCTGGTGATATCATTGGATTTTTAAGTTGACCTAATCCTTTGTGCTATGGCCCTGGGGTTGGCTTAACCTATAACAGAAATGAGCACCAGGAATCTTCCTCGAGGTTATAGGGTGGCCAGCATGTAAGGCTTTGAACTGATTGTCTAGAAAATATGAGAGCCTTGATGTCTCTCAACCCTATGGACCTCCGCAGCCTGTTACAGGCCTGTTTCCTTTTTTTTTTTTTTTTAACAATATTTGAAGCACACATTGTCATTACATACCACTAGCCTCTGTAATACATGTAACAGATTTGTGGGGTTGTAAAATGAAGAAGAAAAGTCAAATAAAAAAAATCAGTCAAATAAAAAAACAATACGTTACCGTTGCACGGCTTGCAATGACCACGCACAGAAGAAGCAGACACAAACTGTAGAGGGCCATGATGGTTTTCCTCTCTCCAGTGTACATTGAAGTTGGCAGTAGCAGATCTTGTTTATTTATATTGCCTCAACATGATTACAGGAAACCTGAATAAGCAAGGTACAAATGTGGGTAACAATGACTGCGTGCTTACCTCCTCGCATTCATGAGTGACATATATGCATCTACAAGAAATAGAACTTGTTTTCATGGAGGATGTATTGTTGTGATGAGTGTTGGCTTATTCTGAGATGTGACACCAAGTAGTTCAGTAGAAGTTCACTGATATCTTGGAGGAATGTACTGTCTTTCTGGCTGCTTGCTTGGCTTATGTTTTGAACCTGAAGATTGAAGCAGTACACTCCATCAAAGTGTCTCTGTACTTATACCACAGTATACATCAGAACCCAGAAGACAGACTTGTCACTCTCACTGCTGTGAGAACCTCAGGTCAGACTGTTTTTATGTCCTGTGTATGTAATGTCCTGGGGCACGCGGTAGCATAGTTGGTTGAGGCACTATGCTACAAGCTGGAAGGTTGCGGGTTCAAGTCCCGATGAGGTCATTGGATTTTTTCCAGTTGACCTAATCCTTCCAGCCGCACTATGGCCCTGGGGTCGACTCAGCCTCTAACAGAAATGAGTACCAGGAATTAATTAAATAATTTTCCTGGGGAGTAAAGCGTGGGTGGTGTGTAAGGCTGACAACCTTACCGCCATCTTTGAGCCGATTATCTATATAATGTGGGACCCTCAACATCTCACAACTCTATGGGCCTTCACGGCCAGTTACAGGGATAGCTTTACTTTTACTTGTATATAATGTCCCAATTAACATCTCAGCAAAACTATGAAACCTATATGCAGAAACAATCAAATTCATACAAATTATAGATTGTTTAAATTTTATTTCTTTTGCGTTTGTATTTTGTTGTGTATGATTATGAACATTATAGTACTTAAAGAGATCCTTATGCAAAAGTTACTCATGTTCTCTAGAGAGTAGGTCTGCTGCTTCTGTAACCACTACCAGTAAGGTGAGGTAAAGTTGTCCTGGTTTTAAGTGCGTAATTGAGCACTATGCCATGAAGGTATATGGGGGAGTGGGTTATACGTCCATATTTTCTTGACACTGGCACTAGTTGGAGGTGAGTGGTCAGATTCATGCCCCAAACCACTCCTAGTATTTACTGTAATGTTTACATAAATCTTTTGTACATAGCCATGAATCACTAGATTTCTCTCTTTAGACACCCAGGCTAGTAAGCAGTGCTCAGGTCCTGGTATCTTCATTGCACAAAACTTTCCAAATTTTTCAAGGCACAGCTCTGTGAATTGCATTGGTCTCAGCTTGACAGAAGTCATATTCAACTGCACTGTAGACATAAATGTGAGACAGTACATTGATCTAATTAAATTTTGTTAGGTTGGTAAAATGCACTGCTGTTTTACATGTCTCCATGGTCATTTTTTGAGTGCAAAGAGTCATTTGGACCTGTGAACTCCTCTTCCAGATATGACCCTTGGTGTGTACTTGCTAAATTCATCATTTCATATTACTGTTTTTCATTAATTATAAATTATTTAAATACTGAATGTTGATGTTTTTTACAGTTTCATGTGCAACATTAAGTTCTATAAAATTTATTAAAAGATATTCGCTTGCTATATAATGATACTATTTCAACTGCTTAAGTTGTATCACTGTCAGTTACACCACTCTTACAGATACACGAAGCACCTGAGAAAAGTCTGATAGTGTCAGTTTGCATATGCAGAATGGTGACTTGATAGTATCAGTGTACACATACAAAATAGTGCTTGTCATTAATGTCACATGCAAATCACATTTTGCCTGTCAGTTTTGTGTCCCTGTATGAGAAGTAGAAAATGAGTTGTTACTTGAATGTTGTCAGATTCTGTCTTCCTGTTTGCAGTACTGTTTGCGCGTGTTTATGCATGTCTCTTGTTTAATGTACCATTACTAATGTTAATTTTAATTTGTGGGGTCTAGGTCATGTATGAAGTGCCTTTGACACCTCATTTGTTAGTCATTCAATATGTTCAGTGTCATCAGTCCCAGATAAATTCAGCAGTCATGGCAGTGTCATACAAGTGTTAACTGATTATTACAGCATGTGAATACACTGTAGGATAGTCAGAGTTTTACGTACTTCTCGTGGGTCTGCAGGAAGAATTGATCTCTGCATCATAGGCCATTGAAACACGTCAGCTGCTTTGATCATGTACTCTTGATTGTGAGGTGTAGAGATGTGATCCATGATACATTTCAGCCCTCTCCTCCTCCTGCTTCAAGGTCACAGGCTTGTTTGCATGTTCTGACTTCAGGAGAACGCATATGTCTTCTGCTGTGGGTTGTCTGGTATTTCAGTATTGTCGGCCCTTTAATGATGGAGTGATTTAAATGTTACATGTCAGAATTGTAGCATTTCATTTAATTTAGAATGAATTTCTCTGTACAGCAATTAGATTGTGAGTACATGAAGTGTTAAAAAGTTAATACATTTTGTGGTGATTTCTGTTTTGCACAAAATTATATTTCCAAAAATATGCCTATTACAGATAACTTAGGTCTCAAAGAAATGTCTCATTTAAAAATATTGCATAATTTATGTTATAATGCAGTTAATATAGTGAATAGGTTATAGATTAAAAGACTTAGGAATGAGGTTCAATTCCCAGCAGAGACAAGAAATTATTCTCTCCTTTGTAGCATCCAGAAGACCAACTGTTGGGGCCACTTGTCCTCCTCACGGTGGGTACTCAGACCACTCATCTCCATCTGTGCATGGAGCCTTTCATTGACTCTTCCATACATCCTCATAGGTGTGGTGCTTGACTAGGAGCAGGGACAGCTTTATCCTTATGGGGTTTTGGTTGATTGTTACATTGAACTTCATGTTTACATGCAGCAAACAGTGCAGTGATTCTAGTGAAAACGGTGTCATTAAAATAATCCCAGTGTTTCATTAATCTGTGGTCATTTCAGCATTTGAGGAATCTAAATGTGAACATAATTCCAGATATCCCCCCCCCACATGTGATCCAGTTACATTAGCACGATCTTTTAATGTCCTGTGCACAGGTTGGTACAGAAGCGCACTGTCAGAGTACACCGTAAGGCCATGTCATCCCGCAATCCCATTAAGGCATTGGCAGCCCGTACAGACTTGCAGGATGAGTATATTGAATCATGGACAGGAGTCGCAGAGAAGGAGCTGAAGAGGCTGAAGGTTGAGAAGTGTGAGTATTGCTCAGGAAACATGAGAACTGTTCAGAATGTGATCCTTCATAAGCAGGTCTTAACCTCTCAGATTTGAGGCTCTAACAGTGAAGCTATGAAGAGTTCTGGCTTCTGGGATGTAACACTGCATAAGTCTGGTGAAAGTCAGCAGACTTATCAGAGGAACATATTGCCACCATCAGCTTTGTGGAGTTTGTGTCTGCCGCTGCCAAAGGGTAAATGAGGTATAACTGTCGCTTCACTGATGGCCGCAGGCTGTCTTTGGCAAACGTTATTGGCTACTTAATGCAACTGGCCCACCTTTGTTGTGATGATTCTCACCTCTCACTGCTGCTACCTCCAGATCTCTTCTTGCTAACGCTCCGGCCACCTTCTGCAAGCTCGTGGAACGGGTAGGTTGATTTGGGAAGGCAGGGAGTGGAATTTTGGCACCAGTAAGTGTACCTGAGTAGGTTACAACTGGGAGGATAACCGAGCAGGTGAGTATTGAGTTCCGTCTGGTTTGCTCAGGTAGGGATGGATTCCATCTTAGGGTGTATTGGGCCTCACTTCGGCAGCACGGGAAGAAGGTGATGCTTATGACTTTCATGAACACTTTAGTTACACCAGGATGTTTAATTATTATTTATTGCACTTGTAATACCAATTGCATGGCTTAGAACCTCGCATAATTTATCCCTCCTGGGCCTTATGTTAATTTGTTGTCCTCAGTTCCTTTAATTAACTTTGCTTTTTCTGAAAGTTCCTGTAATCTTAACAATATTCTAGTAATCTGGTGATGCTGAGACACTGTTTAGCATCCGTACCACTTAGAATCTGGGAGACGACTCTTGGTGAACAGGCTCTCCAAAGTAGCGAACTGTCTGAGCCCAAACTTCCAAGAGGAAGCTCCTCCCTGAAACATGCTCTGTTGGCCCAGTTTAAATTCTGGGAGTTCTCCAGAAATTATATTTATCACTGAAAATAACTCTAGCCCTTGATTACATAACTGCCCTTTTGGCAGCATGATAAATACGTCCCGCTAAAATGGGTGTTTGGACCACCTACCACTTGAGTGATAGCTAGCAATAACTGTCAGCCCTCCTTTTTTCAAATGAATATTGCTCTAGTTTCACAGCAAAATTCAGGGAGTGTAGCAAATGCTGCATCCTGTCCATCCATGAAGAATGAACACATGCCACTCCTGAATGTAGTGTAGCAGATACCACATCCTGTCTACTTCTAAACCCAAAATTGAGACAAAGTGCTAATTTACATATAACTTATACTGCATAAATATAGGAATTCCAGTACACAAAAAGCAATTGGCTGCCAAACCCCATAAGAAAAAGATTCTTGGGATAAATGAGATGTTGCGGAAAAGTGATATTTAATTGGATGTTGCAGGATGAAAGTGGATTGATCAGGCTCACTGTAGTGCCTATGTTTGGAATTTTGTAGTATTCGTAACTAAAGCAGCAGGTAGTTTCTTGAGTAGCTGAATATGACCACACAGGGAGCACTCTATATGTGAGTGAATTATGTATTTTCTTTTTTACAGTGGCAAAGAACTCGCCTCTTGCTCTAGAGGCTTTAGCTGGCCTGGCGAGCACAGAGGACTTCACGGCTGTCTCACTTAAGAAAGCCGCTTCACCATCAAATGGTAACATGTTGCCATACAAGGATTTGATGCTGTTGCAAGTGAAGGGACGCCGACATGTTCAGACAAGATTGGTTGAGCCAGTAGCAAGCAGTATTAATAGTGGGGACAATTATGTGCTTGTCACTCCTACAGAGGTAAGTAAAAGTAAAAAAGTAAAGGTATCCCTGTAACAGGCCATGGAGGCCCATACGGCCATAGGGACTGCTGGCCACCAAGGAAAGCTTTCAGATGCAGGAACACATGAAAATCACTTGACTTGAAGTCTGTGCTGTGGAGGGATCAAATTGTTCCCAGCTAAAGGTTGCGGTGAGATCTTGTGTTGTAGCAGCAGTGTGTGGGTGGGCATTGTCATGAACATCACAACACCCCAACTAAGCATGCCACGTTGCTTGTTCTGGATCGCATGACACGGTTTCTTAAGTGTATCACAATAGACATCTGCATTGGTAGTTGAGCCTTGAGGCAAGAATTCCACAGGCTGAAGGCTTTCTCTGTCCATAAAACACTGTGAACATGATGTTGCGAGTTGAAGTGATCTGTTTGAATTTTTTCTTTATTGGTGATGTGTGCACCTCCATTCCTTGGACTGCTGGTTCGATTCAGGAGTTATGTGCGACACTCATATCTTGTCCCCCGTGACTTTGCGGTTCAAGAAGTCATTGCCTTGCTCACTGTATCATGTCAGAAAGGTCAGTGCACTAGCCTGCCATTTCATTTTGTGTTCATCCATAAGGATCTTCGGCACCTAGCATCAACACAATTTCCGGAAACGAAGTTTATCAGTCAGTGACCGTGAAATTTGTGGAAAAAGCAAGGAAAGTGACAAAATGGTGAATCATCTGTTCTCTTGAATCTTCTCTTCCACTGCATGCACCAAATTTTCATTAACCACTGATTATCGGCCTCTCTGCAGATCATCATGCACATTTTCACGTCCTTCATTAGTGTTTTTCACCCATCTCCTTACTACTGAATCACTTGTGGCATTTTTCCATACACCTCACAAAGTTGACAATGTATGTCAGCCAGTTTCGTGTTTCTTGTGTTCAGGAAACAGAGTACAGAATTCATTTCACATGCAGTGGGCTTGTCAGTTCTCTTGAACATTGTTGCATAAACGTGGTTCAGTTGCCTGCCAGTGGCATTCGTGCCTTCCAAAAGGACCAACAAACCCTGCACGTATGCGCACCGTAGTGACCGCAGCACTGTAGCAGCAGTATTTGCAGACAGAACTTATTTTGTGGGCACACCTTGTACATGGGAAGAACTGGAATATCATGCTGATGTATGCAGAGTAACTAGTGAAGCACATATAAAACATCTCAAGATAAAATGTATGAATTTCTTTGCTGTTTTCTGATCGTTTCATGTTTGTATCTGTAATTTTTTTACCTCCAAGATCAATTACAAAATAGTTCTCTATATGTTGGAATAAAGCTGTTAGGTGCTTATGCAGAAATTCTCAAAAGTAGGATCTAAAGGAGAGTGCCTATGTGACTCTTTATATTAAGGTAAATGTAAAGCCCACCCTGTGCTTAATTAATTTAGCCCTGAACCATGAAAATGTATTGGGGAGTGCAGGTGTAGCTCTTCCATTCTTGACTTCATCAGAAGATGGAGGCGAGTGGTCAGCTTCATGTCCTGGCCACTTCCAGGAAAGTGTCCGCAGCACCTATTGGACAGGAGGCTGGGTGGGCCTCAGAGCTGGTCTGCATGCTGTTGAGTAGGGAAATATGTCTTTCCTCCGCCAGGAATTGAACCCTGGATATCCATGCTCATAGCCCGTTGCTATACCAAGTGATCTGTTCCGGCCCCCGAATTTCTGTATTACAAGAAGTAAATGGGCAACTAAATTTTTTAAACCCTGTTAACGTGATTATTTCATGTGCTTGTGCCTAATGCACACAAAAAATCTCTCTCATTGTTGATGGTTTCACTTTATCCATAGGTGTATAACTATGTTGGTCGATATTCCAATGTAATTGAACGTTCACGAGGTGCTGAAGTGGCCATGAACGTTCACCAGAGGAGGGATCTGGGTTGTATAAACTCTGAACAGGTGATCACTATCTTGGAGGAGAAAGTGACTTGTTCCAGCTCTCAGGTTGAAAAATTCTGGGAGCTCCTAGGCGGAACTGGTCCAGCCTCAGGGGCAGGTCATCCTGATGAAGATGAGTTGTTTGAATCGGCCATCATCACCACGAACATGGTATATGAGGTCCAAGACAGTGAACTTGTTCCAATAATGGAATATTGGGGAGCCATTCCCAAAATAGAGATGCTGGACCCCAGTAAGGTGAGCGTAAACATCTCACATTCTAATACTGTGTTTGAGCATCCTGGTGCAATAGTTGGTCACTTTATGTATGTATGTTGTCACGATGTAGTGACTAGACACAGGGTCTTGAGTGGTAATTGGGTTTACTGGACTGTGACTCCAACTATAAGTTACTATAAGAGTTTCATGGTTCTACAGACTTTACTGCAGAACACATAAAGTCTTCTGAGTCAGGTAATGGCTGTCGGCAGTGTAGGTTCCTCAGCTTCTGTACTCACGTCCCTTCCAGCTGACAACTGTCTTGCAACTCCTAACAGCTGACAGAGTTGCCTGGCTTATGCTCACTACATAGCCTCGGGTAGGACCCCACAGAAAACAGCTCCTCTGTTGTGTGATGTGTCAGCTAGCCCTTGCCTATCCCCAGCTCTCTTCTTTATTGAGCTGTTACATGGGAATAAATGACTTCTCTTCTCCACTATTCCAACTTTCAGGTGTCATGTCACATATTTTTTGCATATATGATAGACCCAATGCCACAGAAGTTTCGTGGTCCACACAGAGTGGCCACCAGAGCGCACATACCACCCACAAAGTACACATTGCTGCAAAAAAAAAAAAAATGGAACCCAAGAAAGAAGAATGCTGTGACGCACTACACATCATTTCACATCTTTTTAAATTCTTTTAAAATCGTTTTATATATTAAATTATTTTAACATAAATCAGATTTGTTTCCATTCTGCACTACAGCAGAATAATATACGTCCATCATATATACCTGACAGTGGCCTGTGTGGCCAAAAAATGTTGACTTTACATGAAAGCATGGACTAAGTGGTGATTCAGCCAATAATTCTGTGACTGGATAGATTGCTGTCCTTGGAGCTCCAGGCAGTGTTTTTTTATTCTTTATGTAGTTGGTTAAGAGTCTGTGTTTGTTGTTGAGCCACTGCTCCTGGTTGGACCTCCAAGGGCAGCGATCTACCCAATCTCTCGTTGACATAAGGGGCACGAAGACACAAACTTTAGCACTTTAAGATTTTAAATAGTAAGAATTTTATTAATATTTTAACTCCCCACATTTTAGATTTATTTAAAATCTTTATATATACAAAACTTTGGACAACTCTGAACTTGATGTGCTATGATTTATGTAATAGTAGTTTCCTCAAGTGTTATTTGCCTTCTAAAGATGATCATTAATTGACCAAAACATGTAAAGGCATCATATATATACACACTTTTGAGTCACATTGGACGGTGTAGTCAAATCATTTATACAGAAGTGAAAGAAATTACATAGTGACAGTAGGAAGAAGTGGAGGGCATATGTACAGATGCTTGTAAGGGGATACAGAAGAGTGTGAGACAGTGATTGTGTATGGTTTCTATAACAACATCATCAACAGCTTAGACTGTATAGCATCGAATGACAGGATGATTAGTGAATAAATTGGAAAGGATTTGGATGGAAGTGGGTGTGCTCCAATCAAGGTACTATCACTACATTGTCCAGGAGGGACTGATGAAAACAACGAAAAGTTATTCATGATAGTGTCATGGCTTAGTTGAATCAGGCGGCTCCACAGATGAGAAGCTTTAGTGAACTTGCCTATTGTTGTCGTCATCGCCACCACCCTTGTTCCACAGTGCATCAGCACTGAAATCTGATATATATACAGGGTGTTTCACGACTTTATGGCATAACTGCAGGAGGTGATTTCCTAAGTCTTTGTGATCAAAAAAGTTCATGTAAATATGTGTCCGATTTTTGACGGTTATGGAGTTATGGCCGTTTTTTTCATTCCCATGCACCCCCTCATGTGAACCGCGTCTATCATATGGCGGGTCGCTATTTTTAGCCAGCTACAGACAGAGCGTTCTTGTTATCTCGACACTTGAGAGGTACCTAAGGCATGGTGGGTTGGTATGTCCAGCTGAAGCTGCTACATGCTACCCAAGTGGTTCACAACCGAGCGGCAGCCTGTGATGTGGCTGGTGGTGGCATTTTCGAAAATCAGCTGTAAGCACTAATAAATTGAAATTAAAGGTAATTTCACGAAGTTAACTTTACATTCATACTTTAAATGTATCATGTATTATGCTGGTTTATTATTTTGTTCTGTTTATTGTCAGTAATTGTTACCTTCTATTCTGAGTTTAAAACGGTCATAACTCTGTAACAGTCCAGAATCGGACACATGTTTATATGAACTTTTTTGATCACAAAGACCTAGGAAATCACCTCCTGCAGTTAGCCCTAAAGTCGTGAAACACCTTGTATAGCAGGAGATCAAAAAGAAATGACATTCGTGAACAAGACAATTTGACAGAATGTAACCAAGTAGCCTTTAAACATTTAATGTCAAATATATTATTTGGGGATTGCGTTTCTGTGTCTGTATATGAAACATGCATAGGAACTGTTTGGCTCATGTTAACCATGCGCGCTGTCCGCAGATCCTGGTGTTTGACTTTGGCTCAGAGTTATATGTGTGGAATGGTAAGAATGCGCCTCTGGACAGACGTCGAGTGGCAGTGGGCCTGGCCCGGGAGCTCTGGAATGAGGGTTATGACTATTCAGAATGCGATGTGTGTCCTCTCACTGCTGTGTCTATACTGGGAAGGTGTGATGTGACTGAAGTCAGCAACAAAGCAACAACCCGTCCAGACTGGGCACTTCTTGCCAAGGTGACCCAGCACATGGAGACAGTTCTTTTTAGGGAGAAGTTCCTCGACTGGCCTGACTTCTCACGTGTAATCAGAACCAAGAATGGAGAGGATGAGGAGAAACATGTAAGAAGGAGTTTTATGTTTTCTGACCTGTTTATTTGCTAAAATTGTCAGTTCCTTGTAATGACACACTACAAGCATATGATTCAATTTTTTATTGGTAATAATTTCCTGCTTCTGTCGTGTTAAGGAATATAAATATTGTATGTAGCCGTTACCTTATAGTGAGGTGTGAGTGAGGTGACAGTGCCCTGGTCCATAAAACGGATCCTTATCATATCGTCACATAGCGTGAATATCATCTCGCATGTGCCAGTTTATGCACAGTTTACTGGATCATAAATTGTCAGTCATTGCTTCACTACAAACTTTGGCACAAACAAAAAGCAAGTGATTACTTGCTGCATGTGTATAATGCATTTCCTCTTAAAATTTGCCTCACATGCCAGGATAACTCAGTATGGGACTAGGCTGTGGGACTAGGGAATTGTGTTCAATTCCTGCCAACAATGGCAAGAGATTTTTCTCATCTCCATGGGGTCTAGATTATCTCTGGAGCCCAACAAGTCTCTTATATAATGGGTACTGGAAGGTAGACCATTTTGGATTTGAAAGTCACCACTCAGCTCCATCTATTGGCCAGGTTAAGAATGCATGCAGCCAACAGTTTTTTCTTTAAGCTCATGTATGTGCTGGTATGCATACTGACAAACAGTTGAGTTGTACTGGCAAACTTTCAGTCAAAGGTACATTTGATAGTGTATTGTATGTGCTGGAGGTTAAAACTAAGCCTGAATACATCAGGCCGCGCCATAGCTCAAGTGGTTAGTCACTGGCTTCCCATTGTGGCGGCCCGGATTGGATCCCAGATCTGGTCAAGTGGGATTTGTGGTGAACAAAGTGGCGCTGGGGCAGGTTTTCTCCGAGTACTTCGGTTTCCCCTGCCAATCTTCATTCCACCAATTGCTCCACAATCACCCTCACCTATCATCTGGGCCTGGTACAATAGGCCAGAAGTGGCCGCAGTACAAGGGACTTAGTCCCACCCCACTAGCAATAAAAAAAGTCTGAATACTGGCAAAACATGTTAAAAAAAGTGATGCATATGTCTTTATGGCATGGTGCTTAATGAAGCACAAGGACAACTTTACCTTTACCTTATGTAGAGCTGTATAGACACTAAATATGATCACCTGAAACTATTTTGAGAACTGATGTAGGTAGGTGCACATTAAAATTTAATGAGACCAATGTGAGGGCATCGTAACACAATTCCCAGAAGTAATGTCTGTAAGTTTTAGCTGCCTCAGTTTATGTAAAATATTTGTGCATGGATCTAAATAAAATAGCCGTAAGTTTTTTGATTATGCCTCAGATGTTATTAAGGTGCCTTTGAAGGTTCAAGGATACTTTGTCTGGTGTCAAAAATGTAATTGTTTTCCAAATTGGCACGAAACTTTGAAGTTTCTTCGTGTTACTTGTGGAAAACATTTAATTGTTACATAAGAACTAAAAGTTATGGTTTTATAGCATGTCTGTTCAGTAATTGTCTTTTGTGTCAGGAGAAGATTTCATAAGTTGTCATTACTGATACAGGTGGATGCTAGCATTGATATTAAGCCATGTGAAGTACAACTCATGTTGGAACCCAACTCTACTGATCCAGACCTAGAATTGGAAGGAAGTCATGTTGGACGTGGCTCCCACTATTATGATGCTGAGGTAAATCTTAGCTATTGCTTATTTCAAATTTAAATCTCATGCCCTTAATTCAAATTGAACTAAGTGAACTTGCTTGATCATATATTTTGCAACGTGAAGATAGGATAATTGCTGTAAATATAATAGTCACATGTTTGTGGTCAACTTAATTTGATTCTTTGAAAACCTTTTATGCTGATCACAGTGGCCATGCAGTCTAAGGCTTGAATCATCTTTGCCTGCTCGAACACTGGGTTCTTGGGTGTGAATCTCACTCGAGGCATGGATGTTTGTGTTGTTCTGTGTGTAGGTAGTGGCCACGAGATGGGCTCGTCCCCTGTCCAAGAAGTCCTACCAACTGTGTGTAGGATTAAGAAACTGAAAAAGCGGCCATGGTCCACAAGGGCTGTAGAGCCACAAGTGGATAGAAAACATTTTATGAAAAGAAATGTATATAAAATTAAAAATTCATTAGCAAAATATCTTATTATTATCATATTTATGAATAGATATGAAGGCAGTAATATATCTAGGAAATTAAATACTGCACTGGAGAAAAATTGTATTAGAAATAATGAAATAAAATTAATGACACATACATGCATGTGAACTCTTTTTAATGACTGTAATAGTGGTATCCTTTGCACCAACATTTTTATACATTACATTCAGCTTAAAATCTGACATTCAGTTTCAGTGATCCTGTGTCAGTAAGCTTGGTAATAAATTTTCTCCATCTGAGATAAGGTTATATCACTCTTCAGATCCAGTGCTTGCTGTAAATATGTCCTTTAGAACATATATTTATTGTAAATAACTACACTGAGAAAAATTGTCCATAAGTTATAAATCCCATGTGGTAATGGAATGTGCTACTGAATGGATATTTTAATAAAATGAAACTTTGAAAATAAATTAATTTTAAAGTGAGAAACACAGTTTTATATTGTTACACATATTCTGGTACATTTTAACATTTTAATTCTTTGAATATCATTTTTGGTTACAGACTCATCGTCATTATGAAGTCACAACACTCGGTGTTTCTGTTTGGCACATTGTTGAGTATGAGCACACACAGCTCCCAGCGTCATCTGTAGGACAGTTTCACAAGGGAGACAGCTATGTGGTGCGCTGGCTTTATACCATCACTGTCACAGGTGAGAGGTGGCAGGTTGGATTGGTGTGTGACATGCTGGATTTGAGGTTCTCACAGCAGCCACTATGAGAAGTACTGTAGATTCAGAAGGGTTCCGTTGATGATTTATAACACTCAGGATTACTGAGTTTCTTACTTTGGCCATCATCCAGCATTCTAAAAAATACTGGACTATGGACGAAGTCCAAAAACCTAGTAATTCAAACTATCTTGTGGGTTTCAACACAGTGTGGTCCAGTAGAAGTTTGCTGATTCTGCCTTAATGGTTAAAGGCAAGCAAATGCAGAAACCAGTGAGGAGCAGGCATCAAGCATAGTGTTCATAATAATGTTGCTTGGCTTACTCTTCAGTTATGAAAATGGAGGCAGTGTGTTCCTATGAAACATTGGTGGACTTACATCAAACGGTACAGTGTTATGTCCAAGAAAACAATACTCTTTGTGATGTATTATTTATCATGGCCAGGGCTTGAAGCTGACCACTCACCGCCAACAAGTGCCGATGTCAAGAAAATGTGGGTCTATACATTCAATCCCCCATATGCCTTCATGGCGTAGTGCTTAATTAGTTAAGCACAGGGACATCTTTATCTTACTCTTCATATACTGCATTAATATCAACATATAAATGTGTTTTAGGACGAGAGTTGAGTGGACAACCATCACGTCACTCAGTGTTGGGCCGAGACCGGTGTGCTTACTTCTGCTGGCAGGGTGAGGAAGCTTCGCTGAATGAGCAGGGTGCAGCTGCCCTCTTGACAGTGGAGCTGGACCGGGAGAGAGGCCCCCAGGTGCGAGTGGTTCAGGGCATGGAGCCCCCAGCATTCCTTGCTCTGTTTAAGGGGCGTATGGTTGTACATTCAGGCAGGAGAGAAGAAGATGGGGAAACTCAACAGACTTATGGTTAGTTGAGTATTTATTCGTTTTTTCTAAGGGAAGATCGTAGACATAAAGTATTAAAGATAAACAGCGGCATGCACACAGAGAACCTGCACAGAATAATATGTGAACGGTGCTGAAAGCAAGAAGTAGCCACTGCAGCACATGTAGACATAGAGCAGGTAACCCGTGTGGGGGGGGATCGCCGATTGTGTGTTAACAGAGATTTTAAACAACTGACAAAATCAGCAAGGGGATTCTGGTATATCGGGACCGATTGAAACGTAGCAATGACAATTGAGAAAGCTGGTGTTTTTAAATTTTAAATTACATGCAGTGTGACAGGTACGTAAGTGAAATACACCTGATGATGGCCAGTTATGGCTGAAACATGTAGTGTGAAAGAAGAAAGACAAAGAACTACAATAAAATGTTGCATATATGATAGTATTTATATTACACATATAGAAGACACAAAGTGGAGTTATTGCAGAGGGTGTTTTCTATTTGGTAGATGTTTGTGAAGTTCACGTTCAGAGAGGAACTTTCCATCAGTGTTCATTCAAAGCTTCCACTTTAGCTGCAGATTTCCATGAAGTATATTGTGACATGATGCCTGTAAGCTGTCATAGTTAATTGCTAGGCAGTGGCTCAGTAAACAGGTTCCTGCAGAAGTGAACACACATGCAACAATAGAAGAACTGCTGTTTCTATGCAACGGCGAGGTAGACACACCTCTATAACAATAGAGGAATTGTTAGAAAATGGTGTGGGGCACACCTGAGGCTATATTACGAGGATCCAAGGCTGGTTTAGATAGAATTGAGGGAGTCTTTTGAGATGGCAGGAAAGGAATTAGGCTGCTCAAAGAAAACTTCCTGCGTCCTGCAGTTACAGGGAGCCTGGTATAATTACTGCGTTGAAATCCTTTGCCAGGATATGACTAGTAAAGCCTGGGAACCCTAGGGCGTGTTTGTTATAGTGAACTGTACAGTATGTAGATTAGTGATAGTGCTATATAATTTGTGAGTTGTGTTTTAAAGTGGTCAATAAATCCAATCTAAAAACCTGTCCACTAGTATCCCTAAAACATGTGACAGTATATTTTGTTTCATATGGTTGTGAAACTTGGTTTCTTATGTGGTGGGAAGAAGCTGTGAGGAGACTGAGGTATTTAGATTAAAATTGGCTGAAGGAACATATAGTTGGAGAAGACTGTAAATTATGCTCGTTACAGATATTTCTACGGTAATGAAGTCAATAAGGGTGAGATGGACAGGATTTGTAATACATGAAGAGAAATGAGATTTTCTTTTTCATTACATTATTGGTTAGTAAGTCCAAGTAGTCGACCGCACCATAGCTCAAGCAGTTAGTCGCTGGCTTCCCACCATGATGGCCCAGGTTTGTTGCTGGGTCTGGTCAAGTGGGATTTGTAGTGGACAGAGTGGTGCGGGAACGGGTTTTCTCTGAGTACTTCGGTTTTCCCTGCCAGTCTTCATTCCACCAAAGTCTCCACCATATTCACCCAGGGCAGGCTACAATAGGCCAATCGGTGGCCGTTCTGCCGAGTGAACCCAGTTGGACTCCCCCCCACTAAGTCCAAGTAGAAGAAAACACTCGAGAGAGGAGACCTAGGCATAGATGGGAAGATAATATTAGAAAAATGTGATTTGAAACAATGGATGTATTTATTTTGCTCAGAACAGTCCCCACTTATGTGATTTTGTGAACATGGTGCTGAACCTTTAAGTTCACTAGAAACAAGAATTTTTGACCCATTAGTATCAGCTGCCTAAGAAATTTTGCACTAGAAAATAAGTTATTTTCTTTGCCAGTAGCCATTTGATCCAATAGTGGATTAGGCATAAGGCAGGCAGGAAAATTTTGTGGGCTGAGAGTCAGAGCTTGGAAGTGAAGCACCAAAACTAAAGTTGTCTTTGTACTTAAGTAAGCACCATGCCATGAAAGCAGAAGGTGTTTATAGCATCGTGCATGCTTAAATTTGTCAATAGATAGTGGTGCTCATCCATGGTGAGAGGAGCCCCCCCCCCTGGTGGTACCAATTGGATAGGTGGCTGGGTGGGTCACAAAGCTGGTCCGAAAGCTTTTGTTGGTTGTCCACAGAGTAGTCTAGTCACTGTACTCACTTAACTATCCTGGCTCTGGAAATGAAGCAGTACTTAAAAAACATATCTTCTCCATTGAAGTAATTATTTTGTTATGTGCAGTAGTTTTAATGTTCAGATCATTTCATTGTAAGGCAGAAACAATACCTGAAATGACTTGAGTGTAAATAAAACTGTGAGTAAGGTAAAGGTAAACTTGTCCCTGTGCTTAACTAATTGAACACTATGCGATGAAGGTGTATATGGGTATGGATGTATTAATCCACATTTTCTTGACTTTGGCACTAGCTGGAGTTGAGTGGTGAGCTTCACGCCACAGCCGCTCTACCCTACTGGGAAAAAGCCCTTGGTCCCATCAGGTAGGATGCTGGGTGGGCCCCAGAGCCGGTCTGCATGGTGTGGAGAAGAGACTTCTTCACCCTACCGGGAATCGAACTCTGACCCCTTGGTCGTCCAGCCTGTAGCTAGTCACTATACTGACTCTGCTATCCCAGCTAACTGAAGAAAACCATGATTTTAGATTTAAATAGATTTTAATTTTTATTGTTTTACTTATAGGCACTTGGCGATTGTACATAAGCCGAGGGGAGCTGCTGCAGGAAGGCGTCCTTGTCGAGGTGCCCTGTTCTGTCCGCCAGCTGCGAAGCAGAGCATCATTAGTGCTGCTGAATGCTGCCATGGGTGCCATATTTGTTTGGCATGGCGCAAAGTCGCAGCCCCACTCTTGCAAGGTAGAGTTACAGTCAGTTATATGACATCACAAAACCCAAGCAGTAACACTTGTGACTTGTCTAAAGGATGTGCCCAGTTTGAATCTCAGCCAGGATGTCTACAGTCCAGATTGTCTCTTTATGTATTTTCTCAGATCCTCCAGGCTTGTATAAGGTTAATACATTTACTTATGTCATTTAGTAATCATCTTGCAATTCAGCACTATATTATAGGAGTTACCAACAACATTATTAGGTACTATAAATAAAGAAAATGAATGACTGTAAAGATAGGAATGGTATGCTGAGTAAATACAAGGTCATTGTACTATATGCTAGGCTTATGTTCTAGAAGTACTGGGTTCAAATTTCAGCCGAGTTACCAGGTATCCTGACTGAGCTGTTTTTGTTCTTGCTCCCTTGTGGCAGAATGGCGTAAACCTGGTTTACACTATGGTCACTTCATTTCAGATCTGTTCCAATTTTGTCAGTCATCATTGAAATAACCCACAGTTCTACTAACATTACAGCACTCAAGTGGTCTTTAATGCTCAGATTGCTTATTAGTAACTTACTACCCTTGTTTAAAAAAAAAAGACTTATTATTATATTTGTGAGATACAGATTTAAAATCTTGGCAGGGACATTGGTTGTCTTGATGAAAGGTATTTATCTGTCTGGGAGAATTCTCCAGCAATACCCTAAAAGCAGCCTTGACTGCCTCCTTTCCAGTTCTCTTGCGCTTGTACAGCATCATCTTACAAACTCATTTATGCTAAATAAACTCTGAATTTGATACGCGTCTTTAACTAATGAACAAGTTTGAAGCCTGTAATTAAGTGGTATGCTCATGGAATATTGACACGCAGTTCACCTTTGAAGTTGATATACCATTTTACTTCGAATATAAAACCCCCTCACATTTGAGATGCATCCAGTTTCAAAACTGGGGTTTTAGGGAAAAAATTAAAAGGGTGCACATTCCTTGTATTTGGGATGCACATCAGTTTTTCAGCAGGAAGAAATGTGTAAAATGTGCATCTTATATTTGAATTAATGTGGTATTTACCCATGTTGGGTATGTCACGCGACAAATAACTTCACGTGGGTCTCGGATTTAGCGAGTCTTTATTGGACACCCACACTTATACACCATACAATTGTTACCACTTGTAGTATCACTTGGCTTCTGGCCCAATACCCCAATGCGACGTCTCGACTACCCTTGGCCGTGGTTGGATCTCAACTGTCTTTGGTGACGGCTATCCCAATACTGTCTCGGCAAATGCATTACCTTGTTATATATCCGCGGCCGTTGCTACTCAGTGAACCTTCTGTTGTTTATCACCGGGGAAATGCTGCTTTGTAGCTTCTGCAATTCCTACTCAACAGCCCACTGTTATTGTTTTGTCTCTGGGAACTCTGTGTATTCGTCGTAACCATGGAGACTAATTGTAGGCTGTTATCTTGCTATTGTGGCCGTTGCGCAGCAATGATCGTAAGATAGCACGTTACATTGCTCCCTTCTAAAGGTTATTCGTCCCGAACAGCCTAAAGATACTTCCTTGGTTTCGTTTCCTAAGGTCCTGTCTCCTCAGAACAACAAGTTGTGATCAAGAAGACAAACGCAGAAGTGACTGGCACTGAAAATTATTAGCAGAAGCAGACAGGAGGCTGAGTGCCCTCAACTTGTCTCTTGCTTGGCTTACACTTGAACCCTGATGATGGAGGTGGTATGTTTCTCTGAAATGTTAGGCTCTCCGTGAAGTAAATTGATTTGCAACCCAGAAGCCCATACTCTTCCAGAAGAAGGGCATGAAACAGTTCCTGAGAGTTCTGTATCCATTGCGCAGATTGCATTGTCAGCAGCACAGCAACTTGCGGCAGACAGGCCAACAGAAATTGGGTTTGCTCCAGATGTTGAGATCGATATTCAAGAACTCCATGAGGGAAAGGAGTGCAGCAAGTTCTTCCGAGGTGAGTTTCATTCTACCCTTGAAATTAAAAAAGGTGATTCCATCATACTGCAATGTAAATAAGATCTAAAAGTTTGTGATGATGGTACATTGGTACAAATATTATGTTTCTGGACATTATCCATTCTCCTGTTTTTGCCTAAAATCATCGTCCTGTTTATTTTTCAAAACACAACCTTTTGGAGACTGGATTCTGTCTCTGTCTTCAGGTAAAACCTACTACTTTGGGCCCAGTCAATAGAGATAAGGACTGAGTAGGCTTCACCAGAAGACAGAGACAGAATCCAGTTTCTGAAACGTTGTGTCTTGAAACATAAACAGGTCGGTGTTTTTACATAAAGACAGGGCGATGGGTAATGTCTGAAAACATAACATTTGTAATACTGCAATGTCTTCGCTACAGTAGTCAGTCATTTCATCTATGGCTGCAATGCCTTGATTAGTTTAATGGTTGTCCGAAGGTTTCTTATAACAGTTGAATCTTTGCACCAATTTTATACTGCCCATTGTCCGAGTTTAGCAGCTAGCTCGGGCAGTAGTGACTACTGTATGAATAGGAATTCAATTCACAGAAGGGACAACACTTTTTTTCCCATGCAATGACCAGACCAGCTGTGGGACCCACTCAGCTTCTTATCACATGGGTCCCAGGCCAGGAAGCTGATCATCCAGCTCCATCTAGCACCAAGATAAGAATGCATAGAGCTATATTGCCCCTCGCTCACATGCCATAATGTGGTGCTTAATTTTGGGATGCCTTTTGTCTCTTTGGAGTTGCCACTGCCACTGTACTTTAACATTGACGTGTTATCAATGTACCTACAGATATTTGCTATATTGTTTGGTTTTTATCTTTACTCCTGTCAATTAAGGCAAATAACAGCTGTTTTTCAGCAGGGTGACAACTAAATTGGAAGCGGGAAAAATCATATATTATGTAGATGACATCTTCATAATATATAAGCAAAGCAAAGCAAAGCAAAGTAAAGCTATCCCTGTAACAAGCCGTGAAGGCCCATAGGGTTGTGAGATGTTGAGGGTCCCACATTATCTACACAATCAGCTCAAAGATGGCAGTAAGGTTGTCAGCCTTACACACCAGCTGCGCTTTACTCCCCAGGAAAAGTATTTAATTAATTCCTGGTACTCTTTCCTGTTAGAGGCTGAGTCGACCCCAGGGCCATAGTGCGACTGGAAGGATTAGGTCAACTGGAAAAAAATCCAATGACCTCATCAGCTCTTGAACCCGCCACCTTCCGGCTTGCTACCGCGTGCCTTCCTTCATAATATATAATCGGACAAAAATAACCCCCCAAAACCTATCAGAACAATTTAATGCACAGCATAGACTTACAATTCACAGTAAATGAGGAAGTAAACAACAGTGTCCTACCTAGACTTAAACCTAAGTAATAAACAAGGACATTTAGAAATGGAAATATACAGAGAACCAACAGCAACAGATATCACAATAAATAATAATTCATGCATCCCAAAGATAAAAAATTAGCAGCATATAAAAATTGGATACACAGACTCCTTACCATACCCCTTAAAGAAAATAACAAAAACAAGGAGTTAAACACTATATTAATATAGCACTATGGATATAAGAAAGAAGACATCTTCCTCTTGTACAGCAAACTCAAACCATGGAAGAATAATTCAGAAAAGAGAACCAGAGAACACCAAATATGGGTATCCTTCACTTACACAGGAAATTACATACAGAAAGTTACAAAACTCTTTCAAAACACCAACATAAAGATAGATATAAAACAGCTTCCACCATGGGCAGACTACTAAACGAGAAGCAAAAAACGAACCCTTATGAGCAAAGTGGAATTTATAAATTAGCATACCAAAGCTGTCATAAAGTGTACATTGGCCAAACCAGCAGGAATGTAACGAGATACAAAGAACATATAAGGAACATACATTTTAACAAAAATGAGTTGGCATTCACCCAATTCAGACCTATGACAGGAATCGTGGAAATTGTGGAATATGCTAAAAAAGGGACCTTAATGAACATAAAAGAAAATGTTTATATTTATCACCTTAATCAAATTAACAAACTAATAGAAGAGCAGAAACATGATAAGGAGAACCATAATCAGAATGACATGTTTGACATATTAGTAAACATTAGTAGATGCCCACATGTATGTTGCAACACAGGGGGTATAAATACGCGACACTGTATACCATAGAACAATACAACAACACAAAGCGCTCTGCACAACAGGACCATGACGCTAATAAGAAACTCACCTTCACATAAAACTAGGATGATAGAAACATTGCACAATACCCATACTATAAATGCTGCTTCCTGTTCTGCAGGCATCGAAACTGCATTGTGATAGTCTGCTTCCTTTAATTAGAAGATACTTCAAGACATGAACCATTGGCTCTAGTTTTAACAAAGGGTTTTTATAACTTTACTTTTAAATGCTTGACTGTGTAAATAATTTAGTTATAGTAACTTATAAATGTTTCAACCAATTCGTGTACTTAAAGTAGTTACAACTTTTATATATTAATGACTCTGTAATAGTGGTTCCCTAAATGTCGATCATGTCCTTCAGAATATGGTCAACGCAACCGAAACATGTTAAGGAAAATAAACTATTGAAATGCAATTTTTATAAATCAATCACCCTGAACAGTGCTACGAGTCATTTTATACTAATACAACTGGTTCCTTCTACTGTTAATGCCACTGTACCATATGCTTCGTGACATAAAGCTGTTTGCATTTTCTTTTATCAGCACTTGGTGGAGCTAACAGGCACTTGTATGTTTCTCTACTGGACAATCCAAAGTCATTCAACAGAACTCCACGTCTGTTTCATCTGAGCAGTGTGTCAGGCACGTTCTGCTGCAGTGAGGCCCTGGGTCCATATCGCAGCTTGGAAACCATTACATCTTTCCCATTCCTTCAGTCAGATTTATATTCTTCTAGTCAGCCAGGTAAGCAGTCCTGTAATTTTCAATATTTATTTTACTACCACGGTGATATTCACATATTTATCATAATCCATTTGCTGTAATTTACTGCCTGAATGAGTGTTTCTTTTTTGTTTTTGGCGGGGTATTCCATTTTTTTTCTGTTCCCCCCTCCAAAAACCCTTTCCTGTGTGAACTTATTGAGAATATGAGTAATTTTCCCATTACTTTTAAACATGCAATATTTACTCTCTCTCTTCCACACATACTGTGCCTTACTGAACATCATATGAAACAGCTGGAATTAGAACATCTTCACTTAGAAAATTATAATTTAGGTGCTAGATACTGTAGGAAAACACTGGCGAAAGGAGGAGTGAGTATTTTTATACATGAAAACCTAATTTTACTAAAATAAATTTAGAAGATTATTGC